CTTTTTATCAGAGAGATATGGAAATAAGAAGAGTAGGTGGTGGGTTGTAGGATCTTTTGTCCCACCTCTTCTCCTGCCTTGTACTTAACGATCCTTTTTCTTTTTCTTTCTTCCTTTCTTTCTTTCTTTCATTTCCTTCCTTCCTTCCTTCCTTCCTTCCTTCCTTCCTTCCTTCCTTCCTTTTCCTTCCTTCCCTTTCCTTCCTTTCCTTGTCTTTTCTTTTTTTCTTTCTTTCGACAGAATCTCACTCTGTCGCCCAGGCTAGAGTGCAGTGGTGCAATCTTGGCTCACTGCAACCTCCACCTCCTGGGTTCAGTGGCTAGGATTACAGATGCACACCATGATTCCTGGCTAATTGTTTGTATTTTTAGTAGAGACAGAGTTTCACCATGTTGGCCAGGCTCGTTGGCCAGGCTGGTCTGGAACTCCTGACCTCAAGTGATCTGCCTGACTCCGCCTCCCAAAGTTTTGGGATTACAGGGGTGAGCCTCCACGTCTGGTCCATTACCATCGTTCTTTCTGTCTTGCCAGGTCTCCATCCAATCCCACCCCAAGGAGGAAAACTGGAGATTGCTGGGATGGTTGTGGGCCAGTGGGCTGGCAGCAGATCCTCCAGGGGCCTAGGATCCTTCGGCATGCAAGTGGTTTCTGTCGGTGGGCCAGGAAAGGGGTATGTATCCAAATAGGCTGGTATGACCTAGTGTCAGTTAAGGTCCCCTTTGGAAAATGCGTAGGTACTAAATCCTTCTATTAAGGCAAGAAGTACTAACTAACTTTCCTTTTTTTTTTTCTTTTTGAGGCAGGGTCTCACTTTGTTGCCCAGGCTGGAGTGCAGTGGCATGATCTCTTCCACTCCTTACTGCAATTTCCTCTGCCTCCTGGGTTCAAGTGCTCCTCTTGCCTCAGCCTCCCGAGTAGCTGGGACCACAGGTGTGCATCACCATGCCTGGCTAATTTTGCATAATTTTGGTAGAGCTGTGGTTTCGCCATGTTGCCCAGGCTGGTATCAAAGTCCTGAGCTCAAGCAATCCTCCCGTATTGGCTTTCCAAAGTGCTGGGATTACAAGTATGAGCCACCATGCCTGAAACTTTCTTTTTTTTTTTTTTTTTTTTTTTAGACAGAGTCTCTCTCTGTCGCCAGGTGCCTGGCTGGAGTGCAGTGGCACAATCTCAGTTCACCGCAACCTCTGCCTCCCAGGTTCAAGCAATTCTCCTGCCTCAGCCTCCCGAGTAGCTGGGACTATAGGTGCATGGCACAATACCCGGCAAATTTTTGTATTTTTAGTAGAGGCAGGCTTTCACCATGTTGGCCAGGATGGTCTCGATCTCTTGACCTCGTGATCCGCCCGCCTCGGCCCCACAAAGTGCCGGGACTACAGGCATGAGCCACCACGCCCAGCCTTTTTTTTCTTTTTCTTTTCTTTTTTTTTTTTTTTTTTGAGACGGAGTTTCGCTCTTATTACCCAGGCTGGAGTGCAATGGCGCGATCTCGGCTCACCGCAACCTCCGCCTCCTGGGTTCAGGCAATTCTCCTGCCTCAGCCTCTTGAGTAGCTGGGATTACAGGCACGCGCCACCATGCCCAGCTAATTTTTTGTAGTTTTAGTGGAGACGGGGTTTCACCACGTTGACCAGGATGTTCTCGATCTCTTGACCTCGTGGTCCACCCGCCTCGGCCTCCCAAAGTGCTGGGATTACAGGCGTGAGCCACGGCACCCGGCTCTTTTTTTTTTTTGAGACGGAGTTTTCCTCTTGTTTCCCAGGCTGGAGTGCAGTGGCATGGTCTCCGCTCACTGTAGTGTCCACCTCCCGGGTCCAAGTGATTCGCCTGTCTCAACCTCCTAAGTAGCTGGGATTACAAGCGCCGACCACCACGCCTGGCTAGTTTTTGTATTTTTAGTGGACATGGGTTTTCTCTGTGTTGGCCAGGCTGTTCTCGAACTCCTGACCTCAGGTGATCCACCTGCCTTGGCCTCCCAAAGTGCTGGGATTACAGGCATGAGCCACCGTGCCCAGCCCAACTTTCCATTTTTAAAATCAGTTTTCAGTTTAGTTTAGCAAATATAAAATAAATTGCCCTGCCTTGATTAAAGAGTTTTTACCCTAGAGGAAGACATGGGATACAGAACAATTCAGTCTAGTAGAATATAGAAATGACTGAGATAGATGTTTACAGGAGTAACACTGAGGGAGGGGCATCTAACTTAAGAGGGTCAAACTTCCAAGAGGAGACGAATAGTTAACCAAGTGAAAAGGGGAGTGTGGGCTTTATGTTTCTCATGATCACTTTTTCTCTCACTTGCTAAAGGCATGGAAAAGAACAGACTGGTAGAGGATCCAAGGGACACAAAAAAGGAAATAAGCAAGTAAGTACTTATTTTTATTTTTATTTTTTAGATTATTTACCTTCCGTTTGATGCCTTTTGCCTTTTCAGCTAAACTACAAAAGATCAGATCAGGCATGGAAACCTGAACTGCTCAGGGGAGCGTCACAACTCCTCCAAGCGTTTGATTGCATTCCCCTGCTCTCTAGTGGTATAGTGAGGGTTAGCCTGCCTCGAGCTGTTCTCACAGGGCTGCAGAGTCTTCCCCTTTTCCCAGTGAGACCACAAGATAGAAACCAGGTATCGTATCCTAAAGACCTGCACCTAGTATACTAGGTGCTACGTGCAGCCAGAAAGGGGCCAGAGGGATGCTGACAGTGAGACTGCCCATAGCCTGCCTGAGCTTCTGAGAGGCCGTCAGATACGCTTAGAAAACTGGACATTTTTTGCCTTTGCTGAATATAGGTGGGAGCGTTACCATTCTGCTTATTCTTAATGACTCACAAGTGTCCTGAACTTTCTCTCTCTCTCTTTTGAGACTGGATCTCACTGTCACCCAGGCAGGCTGGAGTGCAGTGGCACAATCACGGCTCACTGCAGCCTCTACCTCCTTGGCTTATGCAATCTTCTCAGCTCAGTCTCTCAAGTAGCTGGGACTACAGTTGTGCACCACCGCACCCTGCTATGTTTTTCTATTTTTTATGTAGACAGGGTCTTACTTCGTTGCCCCAGGCTGGTCTCAAAGTCCTGGGCTCAAGTGATCCTCCAGCCTCTTAAAGTGCTGGGATTACAGGCCTGAGCCACTGTGCCCAGCCTTCAAACTTCCTTCTAATCCTTGAATTACATCACAGTTCCCACTGGTCCTCCTTGGGTATGCCCCACCCCGCCTCCACCCCGCCCAGATGCAAACTAGGAGTTCTTGTAGTGATCCAAAATAATGTAGTAGACTCAAACTGCTGGGCTTCTTATAGTATCACAGCTCGCATTTCTGGAGTACCTGCTTTCTACCAAGTCCCCTCTAGACATACTACGTGTAGTCTTTCATCCTGGACAATTTTGTCATCAGTTCTCTATCCTAAATGTATTCCGTATACAGCCAGCCCTCACTTCGTCCACGTTAATCCCCATCATCTAATGTTTCCTCAAAGAAGATAAATTTGCTTTAATGTGATTTTGAGCCAAAAATGGAACTAGATAGTAGGTCTCCCACGCAAAGCATTTTATAATGCACTCCAAAGCTACAGAACAGTGACTTTGGTGATTTTTCCAAAGCTTCTCAGCTTTTTCCTGAAGCTGCTCAGTAAGGTAAAAAGGATGCACCTAGAAGGTAATCACCGAATAGACTCTCATAAGATGGTACAGCCTTGGTGAATTCACCGGGATTCAGGGGCTGGTCGTCAGGCGTACAGTCAGAAAAGCCTGATACTTTTGGTATAAGAATACTCATCTCGGATGTGAGGGCGATCTGGCTGCGACATCTGTCACCCCATTGATCGTCAGGGTTGATTCGGCTGATCTGGCTGGCTAGGCGGGTGTCCCCTTCCTCCCTCACTGCTCCATGTGCGTCCCTCCCGAAGCTGCGCGCTCGGTCGAAGAGGACGACCATCCCCGATAGAGGAGGACCGGTCTTCGGTCAAGGGTATACGAGTAGCTGCGCTCCCCTGCTAGAACCTCCAAAGAACCTCTAAAGAATAGACTCATCTCTCTGGTTGACTCACACTAACCAAGATCATAGAAATAGCTGCGTGGGGCTAGGTGCGGTGGCTCACGCCTGTAATCCCAGCACTTTGGGAGGCCGAGGCAGGCAGATCACAAGGTCAGGAGTTCGAAACCAGCCTGGCTAATATGGTGAAACCCTGTCTCTACTAAAAATACAAAAATTAGCCAGGCATGGTGGCACGCACCTGTAGTCCCAGCTACTTGGGAGACTGAGGCAGAAGAATCACTTGAACCTGGGAGATGGAGGACAGCCAGTACACACTAACCTGGGCAGCACAGCAAGACTCTGTCTCAAAAAAAAAAAAAAAATTGCTGTGTGGATATGGCTAAGGGGTGGGGGAAGAAGGGGCTGAGATAAAGAACTGATTTATGATCGGAAATAGTTGTCACAATGTATTACACATTTACTCTTTTCTAGTCACTCTTACAAATACCTGAGCTCATTGAAACCAAATAAATGCCATGTGAAGTATTTATTATTCTCCATTTTATTATTACTATTTTTTTTTTTTTTGAGACGGAGTTTCACTCTTGTTACCCAGGCTAGAGTGCAATGGCGCAATCTCGGCTCACCGCAACCTCCGTGTCCTGGGTTCAGGCAATTCTCCTGCCTCAGCCTCCTGAGTAGCTGGGATTACAGGCATGCGCCACCATGCCCAGCTGATTTTTTTTGTATTTTTAGTAGAGACGGGGTTTCACCATGTTGACCAGGATGGTCTCCATCTCTTGACCTCGTGATCCACCCGCCTCGGCCTCCCAAAGTACTGGGATTACAGGCGTGAGCCACCGCGCCTGGCCCTATTACTATTTTTTTGAGACAGGGTCTCACTCTTTCACCCAGGCTAGAATGCAGAGCACTGCAGCCTCAACCTCCCAGGCTCAAGCAATCCTCCCACCTCACCCTACTCAGTAGCTGAGACTACAGATGGGAGCCACCACACCCAGCTAATTTTAAAGTATTTTTTGTAGAGACAGGGTTTTGCCACGTTGCCCAGGCTGGTATCAAGCTCCTGACCTCAAGCTCGGCCTCCCAAAGTACCGGGATTAAAGGAATGAGCCACCATGCCTGGCCTGTTCCCCATTTTAAACAGGAGGAAATTGAGACTCAGAAGAATGAAATACCTTTCCCCAGATTATCCATCAAGTCTGTACATCAGAATTGACATTATAGCCTGAGCTAACTGATTCCAAAGCCCTGTGCTTTGCGCATTCCAATATAGTATAACAGCTCCAGTTGTTAGAGACCAGCATCAGACTCAGGTGTGGCTGACTCTAGCTATGCATGCCTTTAACCATTACTACTAGAGCTTTCTTTCTCTACGGGCAAGTTACAAGAGAGGCTGTGGTATCAGAAGTTTGCTTGGGGGCATGGAATCAGAACAATGATATTAGCTAGTTTTTTTTTTAATGAGTCATCCAGGCTGGAGTGCAGTGTTGCAATCATAGTTTACTGCAGGCTCAAACCCCTGGGCTGAAGTGATCCTCCCACCTCCAAGTAGTTGCGAGTACAGGTGCACACAACCATGCCTAGCTTAATTTTTATATTTTTTGTAGAGAAAGGGTTTCGCCATGTTGGCCAGACTGATCTTGAACTCCTGAGCTCAGGTGATCCGCCTGCCTTGGCCTCCCAAAGTGCTGGGATTACAGGCGTGAGCCACTGTGTCCAGCCTTAGTGAGCATTTATTGAGTTCTTACACTGTGCCAAAGACAGCATGTTCTAAGTGCTTTATATGTAGTGTCTCATTGAATCCGTATACGAACCTATGAAGTAGATACTTATTCTATTTTACAGATGTGGAAAGTGAGAGAAAACAATGGATGGTAGGTGATCTTAAGTTTCTCTTAGCTAAGACGGCTGCGGACACTGTTATCTACTCTAGAGGTCACCTAGCCAAGGAAATCCTCATTGAGACTTTGTTTATTTATAGCAAGCCATCTTCTCTGGACAGAGCTGCTGCTGACTTCCTTTTTGACTCTTCTTTTTCTCTTTCAGTTGGAACAGAAAAAAAAAGAGTATGAGATAATTAAGAAAATGTTCCAGCTTATTAAATCTGGTTACACTCTAATCCTGTCTTCCTGAGATGATTTTTCAGTTGGAACAGAGAAGAGAAGAGTATGAGATAATTAATGAAATGTTCCAGCTTATTAAATCTGGATACACTATAATCCTGTCTTCCTGAAATTGTTCCTAGGCCACAAGAGTTTTGTATGTTGTTAAATTTTTTTTTCGTGTTTTTCTTTTTTGAGACACAGTCTTGTTCCTTCACGCAGGCTGGAGTCCAATGGCATGATCTCGGCTCATGCAACCTCTGCCTCCTGGGTTGAAGCAGTTGTCCTGCCTCAGCCTCCCTAGTAGCTGGGATTACAGGAGTGCACCACCACACCTAGTGAATTTTTGTATTTTTAGTGGAGGCGGGGTTTTACCATCTTGGCCTGGCTGGTCTTGAACTTCTGACCTCAGTTATTCTGTCCGCCTCAGCCTCTCAAAGTGCTGGGATTACAGGTTTGAGCCACCATGCCTGGCCTGTTCTTAAATTCTTAAGTCACTTACTTGTAATGTTGTGGTTTCTTTATTGCCTCCTTCAGGTGGCTAATTCATCCATTTTTATGGCTGTTACTATCCAGGTTGTTGGACAGTACTTCATAGTAAGCCCCATATTGTAGAGACTTTGAGACCAAATGATCTAGCTTTGAATCTGGCTTTGTTACTCACTAGTTCTGTGACCTTAGACAAGTTACTTAGCCTCTTTGCCCTAGTTTTCCCCTCTATAAACTTGGAGAAATTGGTATCTATGTTGCAGAGTTGTTATACGAGGACTAAATGAAAGTCTTCTTACTTTTTTTCAGGCTGTTTTCCTTTTTCTTCTTCTTCTTTTTTTTTTTTTTTTTTTTTTTTTTTGAGACAGGATCTCACTCTGTCGCCCAGGCTGGAATGCAGTGGCACAGTTATGACTCACTGCAGCATGGATGTCCCAAGCTCAAGCAATCCTCCCCACCTCAGCCTCCTGGGTAGCTTGACCACAGGTGCATGCCACCACGCCCAGCTAATTTTTGTAATTTTTTTAGAGATAGGGTTTCGTAATGTTGGCCAGGCTGGTCTCAGACTCCTGAGTTCAAGCAGTCTGCTTGCCTTGACCACCTCCTAGGAGCTTCAGTTTTCTTATCTGTAAAAGGAACAACAGAGTATGTGGTATGTCGAACCCCTGAGTAATCAGAAGCTGTGATTATTCCCAGCAACATTCATTAAGAGCCAGCATTGGGCCGGGTGCAGTGGCTCTCGCCTGTAATCCCAGCACGTTGGGAGGCCGAGGCGGGTGGATAACCTGAGTTCAGGAGTTTGAGACCAGTGTGGCCAACATGGTAAAACCCTGAACTGGATGTGGTTAATAAAAATTAACTGCCTGTAGTCCCAGCTACTTGTGGGGCTGAGGTGGGAAGACGGCTTGAGCCTAGGAAGTTGAGGCTACAGTGAGCCAGGATTGCACCACTGAACCCCACCCTGGGTGACAGAGCAAGACCCTGTCTCAAAAAAAAAAAAGCAAAAAGGTGTGTCATTATTGTGTTAACATTGCCATTGGATTTCAGTTGGGTCTATATGCTGTCACCCTAAGTTCTCAAGATGATACTGGAATGTACTAGGTATCGGGCTGGGCATGGTGGCTGACACCTTTAATCTCAGCACTTTGGGAGGCTGAGGCGAGCAGATCACTTAAGGCCAGGAGCTGGAGACCAGCCTGGCTAACATGGTGAAAACCCCGTCTCTGCTAAAAATACAGAAATTAGCCAGGCATGGTGGCAGACGCCTGTAGCCCCAGCTACTCGGGAGGCTGAGGTGGGAGGATTGCTTGAACCTTGGAGGCAGAGATTGCAGTGAGCCCAGATTGCAGACTGCAGTCCAGCCTGGGCAACAGAACAAGACTCTGTCTCAAAAAAAAGTAAAAAAAGAATATACTAGATATCAACCACCTTGCGGTCTTCTGGTGTTTTTGAAGAACTGAAACCATTTCCTCAGGCTAATTTATGAATATGTTTAGGAAGGGTCAGCCAGTCTGGGATTCCCATTTCCACTGAGTATCTCTGTTTTTAACAGGGCTCTTCAGATGCAATTTCTAAATCCCTGGAGCTTCATCAAGGTCGGTCTCGCTCCCAGGTAAATGGAAACAGTGGCGCATTGATCAAGGAAGAGAAGAGTGATCATCATCTTCTAGCTCCATCACAATGTGCCTTATCCAGAGACAGCAACGAGTATAGTAGTGGTAACCGCTACCTCCCTATGAAGAATGGGGAGAAGAACCTCTTACAGGAGCAAAAGCTAGAAACTGTGACACAACGGAAAGAGGACTGACAAGCTGAAGATGGCTTCACCAAACCGGGAAGAGGGAAAACTTTTACTTTTCTGATTTTAGGCCCAAGCTAGAGGAGGATATAAATGCTTACCCTAGATTCCTCCAGGATTTTGGTGGGATGTTCTATTTTGTCCATCTTTTTCCCTTCCCTGCCTTTTTCTGGGCCTTCAGATTCAGTGGTCTGTTTCTGGATAAGCTCTGGTCAAAGATGAATGGCAGTAAGACTAGCTCCTATTCTCAAATTGAATATATAGCACCATTATTTTCTTCATCTCCTCTGGGAGCCTAGTAAGGCAGTACCTGTCAGAAATTGGGTGTTATCACATAAGGTCCTATAGAAAAGTTCCAGATTTGGGCTGGGCGTGGTGGCTCATGCCTGTAATCCCAGCACTTTGGGAGGCTGAGGTGGGCAGATCACGAGGTCAGGAGTTTAAGACCAGACTGGCCAACATGGTGAAACCCCACCTCTACTAAAAAATACAAAAGTTAGCTGGGCATGGTGGCTCGTGCCTGTAATCTCAGCTACTTGGGAGGCTGGGGTAGGAGAATTGCTTGACCCGAGACCTGGGAGGTGGAGGCTGCAGTGAGCCGAGATCGCACCACTGCACTCCAGCCTGGGCTACAGAGCGAGACTCCATCTCAAAAAAAAAAAAGAAAAAAAAAGTTCCAGATTTGTTTTTTCTGAATATTTATAATGATACTCACTATCACAGACTTATGTGATAAGCCTGTGAGGTTGTTATTATTTTTTATGATTATTTTCTCTGTGAAGTGGTATCCACCTCTTCCTCACTTATTCCAACTTACCTCCCCCTGGATTTTGTACCACCACCTCTAGCTTTGGCCTGACAATCAGATAGGTAGATGTTTTCAGAAAAGTAAGGTAGTATTGGTTATTTTATTTTTTATTTTATACACTTCAAAAGAACTATCAATGGCCTTTGTACTGGGGGATTCAAGTGAATCAGGAAAGTACTGGGCAGATTTTTCCTGCCTGTCAACCAGTGCATTGTTTGTAAAATAGGAGATGTGGCATAGTTCATTCACTCCCTACTGCCCACACCATGAAAGGGTGGGAATCAGTGTGATGAACTTGAGTACTGAAAAGACTGTGTGTGTGTGTGTGTGTGGGTGTGTGTGTGTGTGGGTGTGTGGGTGTGGGTGTATATATGATGTGTGTATCTATATGCATACACATACCCTTTATATAAAGAGACAGATCTATTTATCTATACATATTTTATATATGTGTGTGTGTGTATGTGTGTATATATGTGTGTATATATATGCACATACATACATGCATACATGGTGATGTCCCAGAGGATTTACTGAATTTCCCAGAAATGCTTCCACTGCTATGGAGTGGAAGGTTTCAAAAGACCACACTTTAAATGTGAAATTCTTAACTAAGTCATAGCCCATCACAATTATGAGAAGTTGGATGGGCTTCTCTAAATCAGACAAAAAACGCTTTCCAGAAATTGCCTGTTCAGAACAACAAACTCTTGGGTTGTTACAAGCTTAATCTTGAACAGAGCCCTCACATCCCATATGGTGAAAACAGGAGGTTGGAATGGGATTGGGAAGAGTTGGGCATTTCCTTATGAAGGTTTGGAGAGAAAAGCAGGGGTGGGAGGTCACTACCATTTGAAAGGGCTTTTGGCCAATTTGGAGGAAATCTCTTCTGGAACGCCAGGGTCAAATTGGTTTCAGGCTAGAATTGATTGACATGAATCCCTGAAGGAGAGAGGACTAGCTTTGGAAAGATAGGGTAGGGAAGTGTGAGGAAACTATTTGATTTTACACGCCTAGATTGTTTCATTTGTTCATTGACATCCTGACTACCGGATCTTTTCATTTGCTTTGCAAGGAAGACTTTAGAGGACTCTGGCCTGGGCCTTGAGATGTATTTTATAAAAGATTCTCAGCCCCCTGTGTGGCCAGGATCTGCCCAGGATAAAGAGGCTATTCCTCCTTGCTGGAGATAATATTGAGACAACCTTGCATTTCCAGTTTCCCTCCTTGGGCAGCCTAAGTATGAGGGATGGAAACATGGCTTGCAAAAAAATTAGCATTGTGTCTTTATTCAGGAATTGAGGCTTCCAGCCTCACATACCTCCTTTTGGGCTTTGTGATATTCTTGCCCAAGAAGTACCGTTTCTACAGAAATACAACTGACTAATCTTCTAGCAGGGTTCTTTTTGAAAAACCTCGTGCACCTTAACCCACAGCAGGTCCTTGGTGATTTTTGCCCAGACAACCAGAAGGCTATTTGCTCACTGCCCACTTACAATGATCATATCATAGGAAATTGAAAACAGCGTCAGACTATTTAGTCCTAGTCTGTTCCAGATTAAGAGAATCCATGATTTTCAGGGGGAGGGAGCCCTGGAATGCCTTGACCCCTGCCCAGATACTTCTTACATAAACCAAAGAAAGATTACAAGAGTGTGCATCTAGCTAAACCGAAGTAGAAACAAAGTATACAGAAACCTCCTCTTTGGAATCAGCTCCCCTAATGTGGTCCCCCTTCTTCTGTTGGACCTGCCAAACCTTTCACAACATCTTGAAGGTAGGACTCCTATATCCAGCTTAGGGAAGGGATAGTAGTAAATTTACATGGCCTGGAATTTTCTTTCTGGAGTCACAGAGGGATGAATCCTTTGGAGCTCTAAAAGCAACCAGTATCACTGAGCTGTGAGACCTATATCTCCATTTTCTAATAGGAAGCACTTGGACTTAAAATTGACGAAGTATTTTTTGCAGTTGCTGTTTCTGTGCATCTTGAATCTGACACAATCAGATGACAGTATTGTTAACTCTCACATCATTAAGAAGATGTTTTACTTTGTAGGCAGTCACTGTAAGAGGTAAAATTGCTGCTTTGGCAGGGATGCTTCCAGTTTGCCAAAAGGCTTTTCTTCCTTCCACACACCTCTATTTCCCCTAGCCCAGGGTGAAACAAGTGGGTCATCTTAATCTTGATTTTTTATTTGGATTCAGCATTTTGGGTTCAGAACATTATAAGAAAGCACCATAAATGGCCATATTCCTAGACTGATGTATTTATCTGACAAAATATACAGCTTAAAAGCCAGGAAACCTAAGGTTCATTACTGAGAGATGAACTTTCTCTAATTGGAAGACAAATTGTGGAACGTGGGGTCTGATCTTTGCCTTTGCTGTACCACTGGAAGAGACTGTCATCCTTCACTCGAGGTTCCATTTTTAGCTGTGATGTGACCTCTCTTGAACAAAGTGATATGGGAATCCCTAGAAATGACCCCTTTACATTGTAGGACCATAAGCAAAACTTCCTGGTTGTGTATAGTCACTGATCCCCAAGGACTTGCAGTTGTTTATATTTCTGCTGGTATGTCTTGGGATCAGCTTATAACTCCTGCCCTTATTCAGTCAGTGACCAGTTCAGTCTGGTCTGGACCAGACCTAACAAACTTATGCTCACTTGCATCATTTTCATTCTGAACCAGTAGGACTTTGGGTAGACTTTAAAGCCCAAGAAGTGGTACTCGTTTTGGCTAGTGACATTTGATTTTTGTCTTCATCTTGATTTCCGATACCGTTGGCCAAGTCACATGAACTTTTTTTGATCACTGAGAAAAACAGCCGAACAAGGCATATTATGGCGGGCAGTTAAGGTGGAGGGTCGGGGGCAGGAATGCTTATGTAGGGTAGAAAGAATGTGGGGGTTGCTCTTTGGTTATGGCGATCCAGTCCTTTGGAACCTTACAGGGCTCCTTTGGGCATGTCAGTGTTAACCATTACAGCCTCTACTGCCCACCCACCTTTAAAATGTCAGTACAAGTAGACCACAGTTTAAAGTAGTTAGTATAATTCTACTAAGGTTTAATCATTATACTTGTTCACTTCCTGGTGCATATTTCCTAAATATGCCTGGGGTTTTTTTTGGGGGGGGGTTGAGTTTTCACTGTTCGATTGCGTGTCATCTTGTATTTTCCTCCATCCTGTGACTTTGGCATCTTCTTATTCGACTTTCTATTTTCTTTTCCCTTGGCTTATTGTAGTAGTCTGCTGGTGCAGGTAGAGAGCTCAGTGCACCTATTCCCCTGTTACCGCTAATTATCTTCAATATTGTCAGAGGTTATTTTGATGTTCGAAGAAAATAAAGTCATTTTTTACAAAATCCATCTTTTCCAAGTTAAAAGCAAAATACAAAATCCCCTGTGCTAGGGTGCCCATTTCAGCTTTCGATGTTGCCTCTGTACTTTTATAGATGCTCTTTTTGTCCGTGTTGGTAGTAAGTAATGACTAGTGAATTTTCATGTAAATGAAGCAAAATAAATATTTCAGACTTTAGTAATCTCTCATAACCCTGCCAAATCTGATGACTTCATTTTAGTTACTTCCCAGAAGGCACTTCCCCTCCTACCTTATTCTATTCTAATTCTATTCTATTCTATTCTATTCTATTCTATTCTATTCTATTCTATTCTATTCTATTCCTAATCTGTTCTATTCCTAATCTGTTCTATTCTGTTTTTAGAATAACACACTAGATAAAGAAACTTTAACTGCAAGGAGTCAGTGACTTTTAGTGCTCCCTGATAAATGATGTTATTGACAAAAGTAAAAAATTACTTCCTTGTTTTTTTCCTGTATTACTATCTTCTCTCCTGTGCTCTTGACAGTGTGTTTAGTGGATGTATTTCTCTTTCCCACTCCCAGATTCCAGATTCCCTGCCTTTTTGGTCCACCTCACCACAAAAGCTCCATAGTTTATTAATGTAAGTTTGAATGGATGCTTCTTTGGGGAAACTGCAGGAGTTAATGGAAGAGTTTCAGAAAGGAATAAGAATGTCTCAGGAGTTGTTCTGTGATGGAAATTGGTCTGTTGTTCTGTTAATGCTGATGGAAAGAAACTTACAACGCTTAATAAAAATCTATTCTTTTAGTAAAAAAAAGTTGTAAAATAATTTTGGGTGTGTGAAGTTTGATTTCTCATCTCTGGATCTCTTTCTGCAAATGGGGGATACACTTGTCTCAATTCAGAAGTGTTGCACAGAGATTTAGGAATCTATTTGTATAGTATCAGGGCAAGAGACCAAGTACAAGAATGATCAAAAGGAAGAGCATAGTTAGCCTCCTGGTTAACTTCTTTATTTGAATGTTCTAAAGGCACCTTTGTCTTGACATTTCCCAAACTGAACCCATCTTTTGTGCTGAAGCCTGTGCCTCTGTCAGTGACACTACTTTCTACTCAATTGCCTAAACCACAAACCGACCTGGGAGTGAACTACCTTAGACTTGCCCCTGACTTCTCAAATCCAACTGATGAAAACATCTGTTGATAACACTCAACCATCTTTCTGTTTCTCACATCTGTTTCCTCTTTTCTGTCCTGGCTCCTGTGGCTTAGTGGAGGCCTCATCATGTCTTA